GATATGGAAGACAAAAGGGCATATTTTTTGAGGGAGAGTGCATTATGAATATTTGGTTTAAGAAATGTTGGAGCTGAGATTTTATCAGAAATATAAGTCAGGTATTTGGATTGGCAGTTGAACAGATGAGTCTGGAGTTTAAGAGAAATGTCTGGTCTGGGGAAACAGATTTGGGGGATGATGCCATAGAAATGATATTTAAAGCCTTGAGAGCTGATGAGGCCACCAAGGAAGGCAGTGATGGCTGTAGAAGAGGAAGGAACAGAACTGAACCCTGGACCCTCCCCACCACCAACGCTGTGGGATCTGATCAGACCACACATCTGAGCAGACTCCACCGTTCTGGCTCCGGGTCTACAAGGCACGAAGATCCTGGAGTCCCAGTCTTTCCTTTGTACAGGAAACCCCTGGACATATTTTTAAGATTCAGAAAGTCTGGAGTCGAGTCTGAGATTCTAGATTCACAAGGGTGGTGCTGATGCTGCTGGTCTTCAGATCACACATGTGATAGCAGTAACATAGACCAGGATTCCCATGTGGCTGGACATCAGCCTCACAGGAAGGGCTTGTGAAATAAGCAATTCCTTGGTCTTGTGCCGAATACTCTGAGAAGGGGGTTCTGCGGAGAGACCCGAGCATTTTGGAAAAAGCAGCACAAACAATCCTGGTGCTCAGCCAGTTGGGAACCATCGAGGTTAGGGATAGAGAATGCCCAGAAAGGGGTCTTAAATCCACATTTAAAGGATTTTTTTCTTTTTCTTTCAGAAGGAAAAGGGAGTAGCTATATCGTCAATTATGAGATGTGACGTTGGGATATACACGTAGTTCTCTCTACCATGGGGCATAGTCAGGTGGAAGATTTAGGAAGTGGTTTATAATTCAGTATAATGAAAAACTCTGAATTCTTGCTCTTTGAAATTATTCTCCAGAATGAGTTCTCATTCACTCTTGGAGCAAACAATAGAATCTAAAATTTTTCTAATTTAAGCATAAAGTACTATATGTATGTGGGGGGTATGTATATCTGATATGGGGCATAAAATTATTTATTTTTATTTTAAAAAATAATTTTTTTTCCTTTAACAGAGGCACTGGGGATTGAACTCAGGACATCATACACGCCAGGCATACACTCCACCTTTGAGCTATATCCCCCACCCAGCCTCATATTATTTTGGGAAGGCCACAGAGCCAGGCTTGAGGCTGCATGGGAACAGAATCCACAATATCCACCCTAGGCTGGGTCCCACATAGGAACATTTGTCCCTGCTGCTGGGCACAGATGTCACTGCTCACACCAGAGAACCCCTCAGGCTGGACATGGACCCTGTGGCTAGGACAGCTGTCACTACGGCTCCTGACAGCTGGATGCTGTGTAGCTCCCGTTCGTACTGCCCTCGCCGAATGCATTATGCACAGTTCCAGCCTCTCTGTGTCACCACGTCCTGAGAAGAATCTGACCTGCATGGTGGAGCCTGAGCTTCCTGCTCTGTCCACCTGCAAGAATGTTTCGGAAAATGGACTTTCCTCTTTTACGGAAGGAAGCGGTCTCTGCCTCCTACCAAGACTCTGTTCATATGGCATTCTCCTAATCTAGGAAGAGAGCTCAGGTTCAGGGGACGAAGGATGGAAAAAGAAGGTCAAATTTCAATTCTTACAGCAAAGATCTGTGACTAGCCCTTGATCTGGTACACTGTAGGCACGCGGGTTTGGCTGAAAGAACAAGTGACTAATAAATGACACCCAAGGTAGAGGCTTACTTGCTTACTCTTACTCTGAATTTCTAGGAATCAAAGCCCAAACAGGCCCCTGGGAGGTGGAGAGTGTGAAATGATCCCCCCAAGTAATGCATAGGAGCAGCTGGTGGATTGACTGGCTGGTCAGGAACTTCAGTAAAATAAAGTTGGAAAACAGGTGAGGGAGAGATCTGTTCATGGACCACTTGCTATTAGCAGAGTGGGTAAAGATGTGGGTGTGCGGGGGTGTATGCCCAGAAGAGGGTAAGCATGTGGTGGAGGCTGCTTGTAATTGGGTGGGGGATGTGAATTGATGGAAGGTGTCACTTAGCCTCTCCCCAGCACCACAAGGTTTGCTTGTGAAGTCCCTGTACAAAGTGGCAGTGACAGCAATGTAACTTTCCACTCTCCAAGGACTCCGTGGCATCTGCCACTGCTGATTACTCAGTCCTCAATTAGCAGTTTTGAAAAGAGAAAAAGGTGAAATTAATTAAGAACAAAACAGAGTTGTCTGAGATAAATATGTCACCGCAGATATAGGAGAGATTTAAACAATCATAAAATTATGAAGAAATTGATGTCAATGGAAAAGACTTATTGCAGGTAAATAAGTTAAAGAAGTTGAATTCCCCAGGGAGAAGATGTAGTTCAGTGGTAGAGGGCATGCTTAGCAAGCAGAAGGTCCTGGGTCCAATCCCTGGTACCTCCATTAAAAAATAAATAAGCCTGAAAAAATTTCTGTTTCCCTTCAACCATATCCAAAATGTTTTACAGGTAAGCCTTACCAAACCTTCAAGGAAAGCTCCTGATCTACATAAAATACTCAAGAGAATGAAAAATATAGGGAAAAGCCAAACAAATCATTTTATTAGTTAAGAATAACATAAAACCTAAAATCAGGGAACACATAAGAAAAAAAGGCATAGGAAAATCACTTATAAGATAGTAGATGTGAGAAGAATGGTAGAGTATATCCAACAATGTACTAAGCAGTTAAATAATTTGACTAAGTTATCCCAAAAATACAAGGATATTTCAACTTTAAATCTTTTGATGCAATTCACTACTTAAAAAATAAAAAAGGGAAAATTATATCTTAGCAGATATAGAAATTACTGCAGATGAAATGCAACACTCCATCTGACCCACACTTCTTCAGTCCTCTTCCAGTGTTTTAAAATTTATCTTTTAATTAAAGTATAGTCAGTTACAATGTATCAATTTCTAGTGTACAGCATAATGTCCCAGTCATACATATATGTGCATATATTTGTTTTCATATTCTTTTCATTAAAGGTTATTACAAGATACTGAATATAGTTCCTTATGCTATGCAGAAGAAATTTGTTTTTTATCTATTTTTATGTATAGTAGTTAATATTTGCAAATCTAGAACTCCCAAATTTATCCCTTCCCACCCCCTAGTCCTCTTCTCTTTTTAAGGACCCATTAAAAGATTAGGCACTCACCCCAATAGTCAAGATATTCTCCATTCATGCTTTTAGTCACATCTACAAAACCCCTTTTGCTGTGTATGGTAACATATTCATAGGTTCCAGTGATTAGAGCGTGGACATATTTGTGGGGCTGTTATTCTGCCTGCTACATCATATATGGTGATTCAATGAAGAAATATAACATTATTTAAAGTCCTAAAAGGTGAAAGGGGAGTATGTGGAGGGAAGCATTGTATAAGAGATGATGGCTAAGGATTAAGGAAATGTATACAGAGTGGTAAGAATGAAAAGAGATCCACATTGAGTCATACATATTTCACTGGAACATCAGATGATAAGGACAAATGATAATCTTAAAAGTAGCCACAGAAGAAAAACAGATCTAGAAAGGAACTATGTTTAGATTGTGGCTTCTTCCTGTCAGGAATGACAGCCGGAAGACAATGAAATAACATCGTCAAAGGTGAAGAAAGCAAAATCAAACTAGGAATTTGAGACTGAGAAATCTCTCTTTCAAGTATAAGTTAAAAAAATATTTTTATATAAATAAAATTGTTGATTTAGTAGTAAAATATCTACTCTAAAGATGTTTATGAGGTCATAGAGGTATAAAAGCAAGCAGATAAATTAATTGATAATGATTAAGTACATGTAAATCAATACTGTATAAAATACTGGGGGAGGATATAGCTCAAGTGCTAGAGCACATGCTTAGCATGCATGGGGTTCTGGGTTCAATCCCCAGTACCTCTTCTAAGAATAAATAAATAAATAAACGTAATTACCACCCCCTCAAAAAAAAAGACTCTAAAAAAATACTGTATAAAATATAAATGTGGAGTTAAAAGCACAGTTATAAGATAAATAAAATGCTTAATATGTTGTGTTATAATTTCTTCACACAGCCTCCTACACCTACCTAGGCTATATCATCCATGAAGATGGAGAGACCTTGATTCTTTTTACTCAGATTCCAGTCTGTATACACAGTAGCCAGAATAAAATAGCTACTAAAGTACCCAGTATAAAAATAGCTATTCCAGCTATTCCTGCAAGTCCTTAAAAGTCCAGTTATGGTGATGCAAAAGCACAATTAAAAAAAATTTGAAGGGGATGACATCAGAGAAAATAGTGGTTTAGGGAACTTGAAAGACTTGTGCTCACATAGAACAATGAAAAAACTAGTAACAGCAGTCAGAATCAAGTCTATCAGAACCCAGGAAAATCATGGAGTATTTACAGCGACTAAGAAAAAGCTAAAAATAGAAAAAGGCAACAGAAACTCGGTTGTTTTGTGGTGTCTTAACTTTGACATATTCCGTCCTCCCCAGCTCAGCGATCAAAAACATTGCTGAGAAATATTCCAGGTTTTCCCTTATTTAAGAAAAAAAAATTGTAAGTGATCTCAGTGGCGTTATTATTCAGTATTATTATTCTCAACCTTTTAAAGAAGCTTAAAAGTCTATGGGACACATCTTTTCATAGCAATACATTAAAATCTATTTTACTCCTTAAAATGGCCACTTAGAATTTTATCATATGACCTTTCTTTTGGGGACAATGGAAATGTTCTTTATCTTCACTGTGGTAATGGTAACATCGATGTATAAAATTGCCAGAACTCAACCAGCTGTGCATTTCAAATAGATACATTATAGTGTATGTAAAGTGTGTCCCAACCAAGTCGGTTTTAAAACCATCCTCCTCTTTGGAATCTGTACTTTGGTTATGTAAACCAACCAACCAAAGAAAACACCTTGTTCTTGTTGCTAAGAGCTTACACCCTGCACATCTGGAAGTAGAGTCCCCATGTCTGCAACTTACTCTCAAGTGGTCCAGCTATTACTCAAGAGTAATAGCTGTCTGTGTATTCAGAGGGAGAGCAGTTATGATACATTTTAATAAATGACAGAATTAGATAAAGAATAAATACAAAAGTTAGAAATAATAAAAAATCTTTAAAAATATATTTCCCCTGTAGCTTTCATCCTTGTTCTTCACGCTTCCTTTCTTCAACACTTTCTCCCTCCCTTTCCCCCCTTTTCCAGTCTCACTTACATCTTATCCCCTGCACACTGGAGCCCCACCAGCTAACGCAGGTGACTGCGTCCACCTACAGGTCAGGTACCCACAGGCGAGTAGACGTCGCCAGGGCAATTTGTAAGCTATGCCTGGACCCGCTGTTACTGGATCCTTTCAGTGAAGTCACTCCAGTCTTAGATGGAAGTCACACCAGGTCTAAATTACGTTCCCCACGGAAGTAGGCAGAACCTCGGTGGTTATTTCCTGGATTCTTAGTCATTGATTTTCAACCAGACAGGCAGAGACGGATTCAAAGGGGACTTTCCGAGGGGACCCCTTGCTTCCTGGGGTGGGAACGAGAGGCTGGGGGAAAACGGGAAGTCATTTTTGTTCTTAGACTCGAAGGGTGGGGCCCGGGGTGGGGGTGGGGGTTGGGGGGTCAGCGTGGGGAGGGGCGGTGGCTGGAAGAAGCATTTCCTCATAAACACGTCTCAGAATAAACCCGGATGTTGTTTAAAATGAGTCTGATTCCAGGTCCTTCTTCCGGCTCTACCGACTCCGAATTCAGGCAGGTCTTCTTTTTCACAACCGTTAGTTTGAGAACCAGAAACCTAAATGCAGCTCGCTCCCCTCCCAACTTGCACATAAGTTCCTTTATTATTCTTTTATATCAGTGAACAACTTTTATTTCCTTCAAGGTTTGGGGAATGAGTGATTTCCAGTCCTCCCTGTGAATTCTGGCCCCGCAGACTTGAAAACACTCCAGGGCCTCCCTGCAAAGTCCCGCCTTCGGTGATGTGAACATCCGCTCAGTTTCATTTCTGGACTCAGCGGTGAAGCCAAAAATATGCGGAGATAAAGACGCCACTATGTTTGTGAGTCCAGGGGTACAAAGATGACAGTGGAGGGAGAAAATCCCTTTTATGGGGTAGAGCAGAGGGGGCTGGAAGGAGCATGTGGGGCAGGGAAAACACTTTGTACGAAAGACAACCTGGGAGGGGAGGGTGGGTGGGGCGGGGAGCAGCCCCAACCCTGAACCCTGTACCATCAGGGCCTCTTCCACCCCAGAATGAATAACATTGGCTTTATCTCTGATTACAATCATCTCTAGATGCTGTGCAACAAATCTGGCATATTATTAATATTAAAGTATTGAGTCTTTTTTTTTTTGGTGGGATGAACTGAATGACACAGTTTGCTGGCACTGCCACAGCTAGAAGTCCTCCAGTGAGGGTTGACATTGTGGAGCAAGGTGCTTGGGACCCGCTGTCAGGAGACCTGGGTTCCATCTGCCTCTCTATATCTCACTATCCTTCTTATCTTTAGCTGAGAATGGGTACAGGACCCAATCCCTGACTGGCTAAATAAATTATGATGCTCAAAGTAATTAAGTAGTAAAAATGGATGTAAAATCTAAGAAATGGTTAGAACTTCCTAATGCATGACATTTCCATCCACAGAAAAAGTGTAGGATAGGGGTCTTAGCGGAATGCTTAGTAATGGTAGGCAGAGTTCAACTTGAAGAAGCATTTGTAGGAAGACAAAGATGAAATGAACACAGTTTCTGGTCCTGGAGTGGCTCATTGTCTAATGAGGGGAGTATATGATGGTCATATGGGGTTCAAGGCAGGGCATGCTGGGTACCATTAGGTTCAAATTATGGGCTGGACCAGTGGTTCTAAGACTTGCCAGTGCATTAGAATCACC